TCTTTCATTTTTTTTTTTTTTTTTTTTTCGCGCGAAACTCTCGAGACGTATGGACGAAATTTTCCAGAGAGGATTCTCTCTCTAACATCTTTGCAGACGTGAAAGTATATAACGCTTCGAGGAGACTATTGGATCGTCACGGTCGCGGACAAAACCTGTTACATTGCTGGATTAACTATCGAAATCGTTCTTATTCTTATAGGAAAAAATTATTTTGTCTCGATATTTTTTTTAAGAAGAGGATTTGAAGGGGAACAAACAACCAACGTTTTACCAACGTTTGCTCTGTGAAAGTGTAATCGTTCAATTCGGAAGCAAGTATCACGATAATTACGAACGATCGAAATTCATTTCACGAATATGAAATTATGGATCTACAATAACGTTAATTTAGAAAATTAATGCAACGAATAATATAATAATAATAATAATAATAGAGTGTGTCTGGGATAAGGAATAAGAGCCGAAACTCGGGTGACAGGACGTTGCGACAAAGGAAGCGAGGAATCGATGCGTCGCTCAAAAGAACGGAACAGGCAACGATATTTTAGCGTTCGAAGGGAGCCATATTTTAGAAGATGCATCGTTTTACGATCCATTCAACTTCGGTTTTACGAGATTTTACATCGGATCTCTCCCCGGTCGGCGAAATATCATATTCAGAAATTTCTAAATCTTATTCTTCGACGAAAGCGCGACACGCGTTTCGAAAGAGGGACGCCTCGAAATTTCCATCTAACATTAGAGAACTTAAAGAGAAATAAACGCCGATCTTTCGACCTCGAAACATTCCCATTCCCCTTCCAGGACGATTCTCTCTTTACCAAAAGCGCAGCTTTCATTTAAACAACGTTCAACCAACCCCGCATAATATGATGAAAAGACTGAAACCAGTGTTCCGTAATCAACTGCCCTTTCTCCTTTCCCCTTACAATAGATATAAAATATTCGTGTAACGTCCCCAAAAAAAAAGGAAAAAGGAAAAAGAACACTGCAACTTTCGAGTCCAGCGGGTAGAGAATAACTGTTTGCGCGATATCCTAATTCGAACAAAGGTGAGAAAGAAGGGACAAAGAGGGAGAAGGAGCACGGAAACGGCGTTGAAAAGGTGAAGAGGTCTCGCGTGGGTTGGTGGAAACAATCGTTGGGGGAAGGGGTTAAAGAGAACAGTTGTCGCTCACCAACGGTAGGCATTCACGCGGTTGCTCTCCCTCGGGCAGCGTGGTGATGAGGAAGAGGACAGGACTGGTGACGAGCAGGCTGGTGACGAGCAGCATCGCGAACGTGAGCAGCGCCTTGTGCACGGCCTTACTTCGTCTGAGCCAGTAACACGGCACGCAGCATATCCAGGTACCTTGCTGCGCGGCCCTCTCCACGTGCACCTACGTACATTTCCAATGATCGAATGAATCCGTTCCTTGCGAAACGAACAAAGAAAAAGAAGAAAGAAATGATCAGTATACGTATATTTTGATATATATATATATACGATCATTTCTTCGATATGCGATCGTTTCTTCGCCGTGTAATTGCGTGATTCAATAATATTCGACGATTCTTATTTTCTCGACATTCCTGTCGATAAAACCGTCGCGCACGCAACGACGTCTTATCAACGATTTTCGGCGCGCGAGTGCACCGAAGTTAAACGGCGATGAAGAACGGTCGAGAAGAGAAAGTTGAAATTGCTTTAATACTGGAGACGGCGAGGAACCCTCTTCGGAGGAATCCTTTTTATTATAGTAAGAAAATCGTTCGAAGGGAAAACACGGGAGGAATGGAAAAGGAATGTCGAGGAAAATGGAACGTCAACACTACGCCAGTCGGGGATTAGACGTTAAGACGTCGTCGGGGATAAGCGAGGGAAAACTAAAGGAAGAGGAGCGAATCGGAACGAGAAGGAGATTAATTCGATCGAATATAAAATTTTCGTGGGCACGTGAATAAGAAAGTATAAGAAAAATAAGAAGATATATGGGCTCACCATTGGCTCGTCCGGAAGGCCGGATCCCTCCTCGGTGCCGGGATTATTTCCGGTTCCAGCCGCGGTTCCACCGGGTCCTCCGGTCCCCTGTACGTGCACATGTGCGCCACCTCCGGCCCCAGGGGCGCACAGAGTGCGAGGACTCAGGGGTAGCCTCACGCTTGCCTCGCCACGGGATCTACCNCCGCCTCCACGGGCCCCACGGCCCCCGTAACCCCGGCTCACCGTGCACAAAGCCACATTTGCCGGGTCCCGCGGAACTCCCTAGCTCTTCAAAGCCCGCCAAAACTTCTCCAGCCCGCCGCCGATCTCTGGACGATGGATCGATGGATCAAACCACCGGCCGGATCCACCGCTCCCCCTTCCGCTCCTGCATCTTTCTATTCCAGAGACAAAAATCTGTGGGAAAAAAATTGAGAAATTAATCGTTTCCTTTTTTTTTTTTGCCTTTGAAAGAATTTTTCGACAGTTGTTGTTGTCGTCGAATCTTTTTGACGATGCATTGTTTTTCGAGTTCGCCAAGAGAAGAGAAGAAGGGAATTTATCAGAGAGGAAACGCGATGGATGGGAGTTTTTGTAATTCGTTTCTTATTATTCGATAATTCGATCGAACGTGCGTGACTTCGTTCACCTTGTCGCTCGTCCCGCAGAATCTCTGTGAATTTCTTTTTTTTCCACGGATAAAAGGAAACTCGTGGCTTCGCAAGGGGGGAGGGATATTGGAAATCTAGCGCAAATTAGATTTAAATCATAGTTTCGTGCGCGGATCCGATCGTTCGATCACGTTTCGCGTGGAATACACACGCGAGTGTGTAATAATAAGTTGGCGTTTAATCCCGGTCGTGACTCATTGGGAAGGTGGTGGAAAGAAATTCAGAATAAGTAGCGGGACTCGGATGTAGATAAAGCGAGATTTATAAAAGCCAAGGTTACGCACGAATTAAGTCGTTCTCCGTATCGTGAAAAGCGATCTTAGAGTCTACTAAATCGCCTTCACGAGAAGCCTCGGTTTAATCTGGATTACTTCCAAGCTGTTTCCACCGTGGGATTTCTAATTTATGCGCATTTCTTTGTCGCGGCAAAACGCACCGTTTCCAAACCGTTTCTTCTCCTCCCTCCAAGAAAACCGAAACGATTAAACTTAAAAGATAATCGACCAAGAATATCTTGATGAAAAGTCGCTTTGGATCTCGATCCATCTGTTTATCCGACG